TAGTTCGCAAGATGTTACGACAAGCAAAGTATCGTCATTGCTAACGGCATCGCCGATGGGCTGGAGCTGGAGTTTGTACTTCTGCCAGGCTCTCGTGGCTTCTCAGGCCCTTACCGCGGGCATCCCTGAGGAGAGGGTCATCCAGGACAAGCGCGTGGTGCCCGACGTGACGTCTCAAGCGGGGGGGGCGGTGCACGTCGACGGCGCGGCTGCGGCGGGCTGCGATGAGTCCGCCGTGAAGGGCGCCATCGATCGCGTGCACAAGCAAATGGAAAGCTGCCAGCTGAAGTGCAAGGGCGCGGTCGCAGATCGGGAGGCTCAGAAGTTCACTGGCCTGGTCTTCGACTACGGCACGGGGCGCATCTCGGTCAGCAGCGGACGGATCTGGCGGCCGTGGCTGGCGCTCCTGGAGGTCGCCGAGCGCGGTGTCTGCAGCGGCGACGACATGCTCTCGCTGCCGGGGCACTATGCGTGGGCGGCCATCTTACGACGCCGTCTCCTATCGTATTTCACAGTTCTTATTGCTTTGCTCGGCTGGCGGGCTCTCGTCGGCGGCGAATGTGGCCTGAAGTGATCGCCGAGTGCCGGGTGGCAGCGAGCCTGATCGCGTTCGCGCACGTGGATACCAAGCTGCAGATCGACCCCGCGGCGTTGGCCACGGACGCCTCCACAGGATCTGGGGAGGTCGACGGCAGCAGGTTCGGGGGGTTCGCGGTCACGGAGAAGCTGTAGACCTCCGACGCCGTCTGGTCAGCCGCCGCCTGCATGGAGCGCTGGCGATACCAGGCCGAGGGCGCGGCGCAGGCTCGGCGCCACGCGCTGGGTCCGCCGCCTCGCGGGCTTTCGTCATCCAGCCGTCTTGACATCTGTGGGTCCGAGCCCTGCGAGGCGGTCGCCTCGCCTCCTACCGAGGCGGGGGTGCACCTGGGCAGCAGTCTATCCAGCGAGATCGACCCGAGTTTTCTGTTCCCTCTGTCGTCTTGGAGGCTGAAGCTCTTCGGACGCTGGAGCCGCCCTGGGGACATCATGCGCCTCGAGGGCCGAGCTCTGATTGCAGGTGTTCGGCATCGGTTGCGAAGTACAGCCTCGCTTGCATGTGTGATTTTGTCCCTGTGCGATAATCTGGGCCTGACACTGGCCTTGGAAAAGGGACGGTCGTCTCATTGCGTGCTGAATCAGACATGCAGAGTGATGGCCGCATTGAGCATCTTGACGGCATCCTCTGCAGACGTTCGATGGTTCCCAAGCGAGTTCAACTCAGCCGACAAGGGTAGTCGCACGATCGGCCGTCAGCCTGTTTCTCACGAGTCTGACGGGCGCCATGCAGGCGACGCGGCGCGGGCCGGTGCTGAGGCGGCGTGGTCCAGAGCCCTCGGCGAGACCGCAGTCCAGCGGGACATCGTCGAGCACGAGCGCTTCCTCGGGGATGTCGAGCAGCGCGATCAGCCAGGGCGCGACCACTCTGGCCAGGGCACTGCCGAGCCGCACGCTGTCACGTCGGACGCGGCGGGGCACCTCGGCAGGGCCGACGACGACGGCAGCAGCTCAAGCAGCCCCAGCTCCGACAGTGACGGCAGCGGCGCGCTCCGGGCGGAAGGCGGCGAGATCCGAGGTCTTGAGGCGACAGCGGGCAGTCGCGAGGTTCGACCGCTACGCCCACATGCGGGGCGACGTCGAGTGATTAAGCTTCTTGCAGACCGACAAGGTGAAGCCGCCCACACGCACCGCTTCCAGGGAACGCGCGCGGAACTTCCTGGAGTGGGCCAACGAGGGCTCGCTGGAGGAGATCGCCGTCACGCGCCTGGACCAGCTGGCCGCGGAGTACCTGGACGTCCTGTTCTTCGACGGGATGGAGGTCGGCGAGGGGTCGAGGCCGTTGGCGGCCTTGCAGTACCTGAGGCCCAGCTTGGACACAGCCAAGCACGGCAACTTCCCCGTGGCGCGGGCCGCAATGGCGAGCTTCCGCAGGCGGGCCCACGGCACCTCGAGGGAGCCGCTGCGCCGACCGTGGGTGCTTGCCCTGGTCGGGGTGGGCCTGCTGCTGAAGGACCTCGAGTTTGCGGCGGCGCTGTGGCTGGCGTGGGGCGGCATGCTGCGGCCGCCGTCGGACTTGGTCAGCATGACCACCAAGTCCCTGATCGGGCCTGGCCGTGGCAAGACACCAAGAGGGGCCTTGCTTCTGCACCCGAGCGGCGAGGAAGCGAGGAGCAAGATCATGGGCGCCGACGAGGGGGCCATCTTGCTGGACACAGCCTGGCGTCAGGGCGGCGGCAGCGCACTTCGGCGAGCTCGGAGCGCGCGGGGCCCCAATTGCCCGCTGCGGTCGTTCGACGGCCCGACGGTCACGAGGCGGTTCGAGGAGAGGCTGGCTGCGATCCCTGGGGCGCCGTCGGCGGTACCCTATCAGGTTCGCCACGGTGGCGCAAGCCACGCGGCGGCGCTCCAGGGAGTACCTCTCGCGGGCATCGGCGAGCGGCTCAGACACACCAACCCGCACAGCAGCTTGCGCTACGCCAAGCACGTCCGCTACCCGTCGCCGCTGGGCCAGGTGCCGTTCGCGGTGGCGGAGTGGTCCGACAAGGTGCCGGCCAGACGCGGGCCGCTGCTGGACGGCACGTAGTCGCTCGAGGCCCCCGCCTTCATGCAGCCGACGGTGCTGGCGGGCTTGCGCGCCAGCTACGCCGAGGCCTCCGGTTCGGGAGCTCGAAAAAGGGTCAGGTCTTCCTCGAGATCGGGTTCTCGAAAGGTGAAGTGGGTCAGCAGCTGTGTGAGCGAGGTGATCACTCCGCGTTGTGGGTGAATGCTTCCCTGTGCGATCTCCGCGTTGTGAAAAGAATGCTCATTGGGTGGCTGGGGTCCCGTCCGGTCCGTGGTATTAGTGTGACGCTTCCGCGCGCTGCCGAGTTTCGCAAGGGAGATGGTAGCTATGCTTTGCACGTTAATGTCAACCAATGTATATATAACATGTTAAATATTTCCAATGCTGCTGTAAACATAGGGGTCCCTACGCTCATCGTGTGCCCCTGCACGTGTAATGTAGAATACTTGCCTGATTTTTCGGCCGAGCTGAAAACCAAGAGGGGGACGTGGTCGGCCGAAATCGCGCCAGACAGCTTCGGTCGCGGCCCCCCTCGGGAAAGCATCCTGGTTGTTTCGCGTTTGCCTGGTCCCGTGTCGAACGGGCTCCCTCGGGCCAACCTGGATCCTAGGGAGAAGTCGATGCCTCGTAAAGCCGTGGGCTGACCGTTCTCGCTTTTCGGGCCCAGCTTGTCTGGTCTCTTAGTTAACGCCTTGAGACGGGGTGCGGATCGGGTCCAAGTTCATAATTATTCCCGTCTGGTCTGCTGACATGGACCAGAGGCCAATTCGGGCAGCTTTGGGACGAACGAGTTCCGCGAGACTGTTTGTGAAGTCGTCCGCTGCACCCGTCGAAGAGATAAGCTCTGAGGTGGAAAGATATGTCACGTCAGGTTGTTGTAATTCGTCTGGCCACACGTCGGGGGACTGGGTAAGGCTATATCTGTTTTCGGAACCCCTTGCCTGACCCGTCCGTTTGTGGCCCTCTTTGGCTCCGTCCAAAATCCGCTCAAGCTCCCTCCTCTCCCACCCCGTTCGGCGGGGACTCGCCAAAGTTTGTGAATTCAACAGGGGACGAACGAGTTCCGCGAGACTGTTTGTGAAGTCGTCCGCTGCACCTGTCGAAGAGATAAGTTCTGAGGTGAAAAGATATGTCACATTAGGTTGTTGTAATTCGGCTGGCCACACGTCGGGGTACTGGGCAAGGCTCATCATCATCATCATCAGCAGCAGCAGCAGCATCATCATCATCATCATCATCATCATCATCATCATCATCATCATCATCATCATCATCATTTTACTCACGCTCATCGCCCTCCTCCACCACCGCCCTCCTCTCCTCACCTCCAAGGAAACGAGGGAGATAGGAAAGCCTGCTGTACGTCTCCAACGCCCACAGACGGGGGGCCATCGGACTTCCCCATCTACATCCTCGAGGACGGCGAGGAGAAGGCGGTCAACAAGCAGGAGGCGCCTAGGGCTGGGCGGAGGAGGTGGCGGAGCGGAGAGTTGTTCTGGAGTTATGATCCATCGAGGCCGCTTCTCCTCGCCATCTACCAGGACGCTGGATACACGTGGTGCGGCCAGCCTGGACGAGGGCTGGATACACGTGTGGCCAGATGTCTTGCCCGCGCACTACCCTCATGTGGCCAGGCACGCCGGGCTTCGCATGTGCATCTGCCGCGCGACCTCCACCTGCGCGCTGGTCGACATTTCTGTCGATTCGAACAAATTTAAGGTTCTGCGGTCGGCGTGTCGGGGGACCGATTTCCGCCAGATCTGAGGCCCCAGAGGGGCCCTTGTGTGTTCCCCACTTTTGCCTCTGCGAGCAGCGCCGACGCCTAGAATGTACGCCCGCGCACGCACACTCCGCATGTGAGTTCCGCCGTGTGTGGTTCCAGCTTCCTGGTTCGGATGCGAGCCTGGAGGGGCGGAAGCGAGAGCGGGCGGGCCTTCTCAGAAGGCTCTGAAGTCCTCTGGCCTCCCCCAGAGACACAGCAAATTTCTCAGAAGGCCGGAGGGCTTCTTAGAAGCCTTGGCGCCTTTTGAGAAGGCCTGTTCGTTCGTCGTTCCCCCTTCGGCTCGCCGCCGACTGGTAGCACCCTCCAGGCGCGCGCGCTCCCGGGCTCTTCTCGTTCTCTTCCGTGCCATTGGGCGTCCACCTGCTCTGCCCGCGAGGGTGCCGCGCAGCCCGCTGCCGAGCAAACATCAGGAGCGGGGAAGAAGCGAGAGGGAGGTGATGCGCAGGGCTGGGCGACAAGCGGAGACGATTGGGAATGGGGTGGGGGTTGGGTTCGAGGTTCTCGGTTCGGAACGGCTTTCGTTTGCCTTTTTGGGCATCCGGGGCCCGATTTCGGGCCCCGGGATTGTGAAAAATGGATCCGAGGTAAAGAATTGCGGGAGGGGTCCAGGGACCGATTTTGAGCGGATTTGGCCTCATCCCCCCTCCTGACCAATCCTTTGGGGTCCCAACCAGTTCAGACGCCGCAGCCGCCTCCGAAGGGAGGGGAGCCTCCCCATCCTCCTGGCTCAAGTGTGCTGGCGCGCCTTGGGTGCCCGCGAGCAACTGAGGGGCGGTGGAGCATTCGGCGGGCGGCCTTGTACGCACTGCCCACCAACAGTCCCCCGCCCCTTCAAATGGCCGCCCCTGGCGGGGCGCAGGCGAGGGTGAACCCTCAGCCTGGTGATGGCTCATGCCTGTTCCACTCATTGAGCTTTGCCCTGTCTGGCAAGCCATCTGCGGAGACGCTGCGCCGCGACGTGTGCAACTACATGGTGAGGAGCCCGACGGTGACCATCGCGGACACGGCCATCCAGGATTGGATCAAGTATGATTTCGGCGAGACAGTCGAGGCGTACGCTGTTCGCATGCGTGGTGGTTTCGAAGGTGGCGGCATCGAGATGGCAGTGCTGAATCAGACGTGCGACGTGAACGTCCACGGTTACGGGCGTTGCCGCGAGGGGTTCAAGAGGACAGCGCTCCTCCTCCTCCTCCTTTTTCCTCCTTCTGTCCTCGTCCCTCTTTTTTTCTCTCCACTCCACAGCTCAGGAAGTCGCCCTGGCGGTCTGAAGAAGCTCGACGCTGGACTTGAGAGCCTCCGAGAGGGTCCTCGAGCTCCTCTTGCGGCCCAGATTGAGCTTGACCGCTCTCTTGGACACCGCGATAGTTTCCCCGTGCGCGCGCGCACATGCACTGTGTTTCCCACATGCAGACTGGGGTCTTGCTTTCTTCCCACCCGCATCTCACCCGCGTCTTCCTCACCCTCCTCACCTCCTCCTCCTCCTCCTCCTCCTCCTCCTCCTCCTCCTCCTCTTCCTCCTCCTCCTTCTCTTGGTTCTTCCGCGTCGTTGCTGCTTGCTCATGGGCCGTGCTCGTGCGCATTAGTTTTGTTTTTGGCATTGAGAGATGGATGAGGAGGATAAGAGGATGGAGGAGCAGAGGATGAAGATGGAGGTTGTCTTGTCATAGCGGCGCATCGGCAGCAACAGACATCTCAGCTGAATTGCGCATGGGAGGCCGCTCCTTTCTGCCACTGGCCGTGGTACTTGAGGCGTGGAGGGAGGGTCTGGGGGTGCTTACAACAGAGGAGGTGAGCAGATGGAGGAAGGAGGACGTGCGAGTCGACCGCTGAGTGCGTGTTGACCGCCTGAGCTACGCTTCGCCGAGTTTCTGCAGTAGTTTGATCATCGCCGTGATGTCGCGGTGTATGCTCGAGCAAAGTGGCGCCCGAGACGAACAGAGGCTGAATGCAGCCCCGCTCCTCGGTCTGCTCCGCCTCCACTGTTCTGGCACGAGAGGCAAGTGGCCACAAAGACGGACTGGGGAGTCGGCATCTTTCATAGGGGTGGAGGAGAGGTCTTGTCGTAGCGCCGTGTCGGCCGCAACAGTCGTCGCAGCTGAATTCGCATGGGAGGCTATTTCTTTCTGCCACTGGCCGTGGAGCCTGAGGCGTGGAAGGGGGAGTTGGGGGCTAAAGAAGAGGAGGAGGAGGATGAGGAAGAGGAGGAAAAAATGAAGGAGGAGGAGGAGGAGACGGCATTCATTGCGAGTGCCCAGTTGCTTTCTCTGCAACGTGTTGTGTTCCGAACACCTCTATGTTGCAGCGCATGTTTTCGAGCGCAGCGGCGCGCGACACGAACAGCGGCTGAGCGTAACCCCGCTCCTCGGCCGTAGTGGCAGGCCCATGCGGCACGTGGCCACCCTGGGGACGTATGCACTAGGTGGGGAGAGGTGGGCAGATAGTGGAAGGAGGACATGCGAGTCGACCGCTAAGTGCGCGTTGACCGCCAAAATTATGCTTCACCGAGTTTCCGAGCTTCTGAGCAGTATCTTGGTCATCACCTTGATGTTGTGGTGTATACCAGAGCGCATCAGCGCCCGAGACGAATAGAGGCTGAATGTAGCCCCGCTCATCGGTCCGTTCCGCCTCCATCGTTCTCGCACGTCAGGCAATTGGTCACCAAGACATCCGCTCAGCCTCCATTTTTCTGGCACCTAAGGCATGTGGCCACCAAGACAGACTAGGGAGTCGGCACTTTGCATGGAGCGGAGGAGAGGTGGAGAGGATGGAGGTTTGAGGTTGTCTTGTCGTAGCGGCGCATCGACCGCAACAGACAGCCAGCTGAATTGCGCGTTAGCGGCTGTTTCTTTATGCCAATGGCCGTGGCGCTTGAGGCGCGGAGGGGAAGTCTGGGGGTAGAGGAGGCAGTTGGATGTTTTTGGGGAATGTCCTTGATATTGATTAAGACCGGCTTTTCACTTAAGACCGACTGTTTCAGTCGTTGATCTCTTGGGTTGGCAGCGTTTCGGATTATGATGCCATGCGAAGCTTAATCCGCCGGCGTGCACGCGATTTTCAGCCTTGGAGCGACATCGACTGCACACAGTATTCGGCAGTGCCGGTTGTCTTTAGTTCGGGATGTCGGAGGCGGAGGCCGTAGATGAGGGGGTGATGGGGAGAGGGACTTCACCGCCTGGCTGGCGCATATTCTGTGCCCTTGCGGGCCTTCGGTCTTTTCCAATCCTGTACGCCTACATTTTTGCCGCTGCGCCAGCCTGGCGCTATTTGTTCCCAACCACATCCTGTGGCGTTGGGTCCTCGTTTTGAAGAGACGGTGCCCCGCGTTCCTCTCCTCCCCTCCTCCCTCCCCCTCCTCCCCCTCCTCCCTCCTCCCTGCGCTTCACCCACCCAGTACAGCGTTTCGTGGCCTCATACGGCGCCCCACCGAAGGCCCCAGTGGCAGGGTTCGCTTGGCGGCCCCGCATTTTGGCGCACCTCTCACACGGTTCGTGGTCCCATAGGGAGCTCCGCCGAAGGCCCCAGTGGCGGGGTCTGCATAGCGGCCCCGCATTTTGGCGCACCTCTCACACGGTTCGTGGCCCCATAGGGAGCTCCACCGAAGGCCCCAGTGGCAGGGTTCGCATGGCGGCCCCGCCCCAGTTTGGCGCACCCCTCACACGGTTCGTGGCCCCATAGGGAGCTCCACCGAAGGCCCCCAGTGACAGGGTTCGCATGGCGGCCCCGCCACCCCTCACACGGCTCATGGCCCCATAGGGAGCTCCACCGAAGGCCCCAGTGGCAAGGTTCGGATGGCGGTCCAGCCCCATTGTGGCGTATCCCTCACACGGTTCGCGGCCCCATAGGGAGTTCCATCGAAGGCCTCAGTGGCAGGGTTCGCATGGCGGCCCCGCGCCATTTTGGCGCACCCCTCACACGGTTCGTGGCCCCATAGGGAGCTCCACCGAAGGCTCCAGTGGCAGGGTTCGCATGGCGGCCCCGCCCCAGTTTAACGCACCCCTCACACGGTTCGTGGCCCCATTGGGAATTCCCCTTGCTTCGTCCCACTTGCCACGCGGTTCTCACACTTGCGAATTGTTAGGTCTTTCGCCCGGATAATTTTCACGACGCGACAAGCTTTCGCTTAATGTATGGCCAACGTCAATAAGCAGGAAGAGGAGGAAGAGGAGAGCGGCAACGGCAAGAACAGTAGCATCGAGCGGGGGGGCGGGCACACCTTCGAAGGGTCAACCCTATGCTCGCCCCACGCGCAGTGGTCGCGGACTTCCTACCCAAGGGGCTCACAGATTCCTCTCACCAAGATTCGGGGGCCAATGTCGGGGAGAACGGGGGCGAAGGAGGGGGGGACGAGGAACGAAGAGGGGAGGGGGACGAGGAGGAAGGGCCAGATCCCGACGCACTCCTTGTACCGCCGCGACAGCTTGGCCTCTGACAGATCGTTGCGCGGGCTCGTAGGCCCGAGAGCTGCTCAGGGGAAGGAGGGCGCAGGAGGGACCTGCCGCGGCGGCACGAGTAGTGTACCACCTGACGAGGGCCAACGGGATGTACGAGGCCAGGTGGCGTGGGTACGCCGCCGACCTAGCCGAGCAGCGGGGCCAGTGTCCCCTCCGCCAGCGGCTCAGCACCCTATTAACATACCTCGTGGGAATGGATCCCACGGCTCTCGCCGACGGTACCATCAGAGCGCTTGCCAACCGAGATCCGCAACTGCGGCCAACTCTCCAGCGGCACTCTGGCTGAACAGGACAGGCGAGGCAGCAGACACCCCCTCAGCAGACAGCCACGGCCCAGAGCGGGATGCAGCTCCAGTCTGCCCCTCCAGAGCAGACCCACAGGCCCCAGGCGGCGACGGGGCCAACGACCCTCCAGCGGAAGGACTAGGCTCTTCCAACCAGGCAAGCAAGACCGAGGGTGAACCGGATGCCCCCGATTGGGATGAAGACGCGGGGAGCGAGGCAGCCACAGCCAAAGACACGAGCCCGGTTGCCAGCCCGACACCGGTGGCGGACGAAGGCGAGGAGGAAGACCCCTTCGATCCCTTGAACGCCTGTAAGGACACGCCCCCAAGGAACAAATCCTGGACCCCGTACTCCCAGACCGTCGATCGAGCTGCCATTCGGGCGCTTCGGAGTGCGAGAGACAGCTTCGAGAAGGCAAGCAGCTCGGCCTGGGACATCACGGGAGCCAGGGACGACCGCACCCTCAGCCGCGCGGCAGGAGACAGAGGGCGCCACCGGCCCGCGTCAGAAGACATCAAAGAAGGGGAAGGACGTGCCGCCAAATCACCAAGGGGCAACCCCACGAGAGCGGAGATCCACGGGGCGCCCTGGAGAGACATCAGGATCGCACAGCCAGGCTACGAGAATCTGAACGATCCCATGGGATGTGGTCCCATATACAAGTGCACCATCGCAACTGCAGACGTGGAAAAGGACGAGCCCGCACAGGAGAAGATTATACGCTTACAAAAGACGCTGGGAGGAGCGTTCAATGGCATATGGCACGCATGGGTTAAGCGGGTTGCCCTGAGACAGGACCCCAGTGGAGGCCACAAGAGCAACTCCAAACTGAACACAGTCCAGACGTGCGCAGATTTCCTCGAGGCTTGAAGCGACGCAGGGCACGATGCTTACAAGATGGATAGTGAGCTCGGGCTCAACGTCAACTGGGCAGCTGTCAGGGACAAGCACATGAACTCCGTGCGCCACGACGCGCGACTACGGCAGCAGCAGCAAGCCCGCCCCATGGACAACCGAGGGCAGAGCGGACGCTCCCGCGCCTGCGCAGGACCGCTGGGCCGGAGCCATCGGCACAGCCACCCCCAGCCAGTGGCAGGGCTGGCAGGAATGGACCGCGTGGGATCGGCATGAAGCCCCATGGACGGACTCAGATTGGAAAGGAAATGGCAAGCGGCACTACCCTAGGGGGGGTGACCGGTACTCGGACAAGCGCGCCCGCTAGTGGGCAAAGAACGACTCCTACACCCAGGGCTGACTGTGCCAGACACGGCCCACCTCAGCATCCCTGGCGCCCCTGGCCAACGAAACCTGCCCCCCCCCCATCGGCTCCTCCTGCCCCGAAGGGGCCAGTTTCACGTCGCCGCGCCCGGCTCAGGCCGCAATACCTGGGGGCAACCTCCGCTGGGGCGCAGGTCGCCCCACATCTCACCCACGGCGCGGCATAGCTAGACAGCCCACACTGGACAAGTGGACCTACCCTCCTTTTCGGGCCCGACGCGGGGGGTCTCCCCCCCCAGCACCCGACATCTCACACCCTCTGACACGACAGGGGACCCGCCCGACCAGGGCAGACAGGCCCCGGGCTCAGTCACTTTGCTGTCCGACGACGACAGCCAACCCACCCGCTAGCGGCGGGGGGTCGGCCACGGGACCCCCCCCCCCGCGCGACGGCGGGTCGACCTATCCAGGTCATAATTTCGGCAATACTGACTCTAGCGGCGATCAGCTGCGACCCTGGGGGGCCAACACCCACCATCCCCGCTGAGGCATCGCTCTCCGCAGGGACGGACCAGCACTCAGCGCAGCCCGAGGTCCGCGGAAGGGCCCCCACCCGTCCCTCGGCACCATGACCTTCGAAGGACCCACCA